ATTATATATCTCCTAATTTGACCAATTGGAGCAAGAACGTAAACAAGTGCAAACCGGTTTCAGCTGCGTAGAAACAATAAAGCTTTATAGTATCACCTGATAACTAACATTTTACATGCAATCTCATAATGCGTCTAATAATTTGGTCATGGACTGAATAAAAGTAGCGTCTCTTAATCTAAAATATAATGAAATGTGGCATTTGAAGATATAAAAAGTGTTAAATGGTTTTATCATCTAAAACCATGTTTACTTCACTTTGTTCTGAAACTTTCAAGCTCGACTACTTGATATTAGATAATAAAGTAAAGGAAGATATAGAACAGAATTTTAAAATATGTAATAAGGGAGGGAAGAACGATATAAGATTTCATCTGGAAATTTTTGCCGAATAACAATGCTAGTTTTAATCATATCCTAAATTTTCATTTTTTATAGTCAATAGAAATGTCGACCAATCTGATTAATGGACGAATCCGATAAATCGACCAATCCGATGAGTTTCCGAGGAATAGAATACAACTGACATAAGGCATAAGAAACTTTAAAAACAACGTCTTTAAAGTAAACTGAAAAATAATCTATATGTATTGTTCATAAAACATTAATGCATATAATATTACAAATCCGATGAAAATTCTTTTCTTCAATCGTCGACAACAAAAGGGCGAATAAAATTGAGCTATAAGAGAAACGTGATAGTCGGTTTAATTACTCGGGTAATTTTCTCTAGAAATTTTTGCCGAATAACAATACAAGTTTCAATCATATCCTAAATTTTCATTTTTTATAGTCAATGGAAATGTCGACCAATATGATTAATGGATGAATCCGATAAATCGACCAATCCGAAGACTTTCCGATGAATAGAATACAACAGACATAAAGCATAAGAAACTTTAAAAACAACGTCTTTAAAGTAAACTGAAAAATAATCTATATCTATTGTTCATAAAACATTAATGCATATAATATTACAAATCTGAAGAAATATCTTTTCTTCAATCGTCGATAACAAAAAGACGAANGGTTTAATTACTCGGAAAATTTACTCTGGAAATTTTTGCCGAATAACAATACAAGTTTTAATCATATCCTAAATTTTCATTTTTTATAGTCAATAGAAATGTCGACCAACCCGATTATTGGACGAATCCGATAAATCGAACAATCCGATGAGTTTCCGATTAAACGAATACAACTGACATAAAGCATAAGAAACTTTAAAAACAACGTCTTTAAAATAAACTGAAAAATAATCTACTGTTCATAAAACATTGATGCATATAATATTAGAAATCCGATGAAATTTCTTTTCTTCAATCGTCGACAACAAAAAGGCGAATAAAATTGAGCTATTAGTGAAACGTGATAGTCGGCTTGAATGATGCAAGTATTGTAAATACATTTTACAATACCTGAAAAGAAATTTTGCTGCTATCCGAAAATATTCTTCTTTTCCCTTCCTTTCATGGTGCTTCTCTTTTCTTTCATCCACTTCTATTTCGAGATTCATCTGATTCTATTCCACTTCTCGTTCCATTCCAAACCCTATCAAAGAGAAAACACATACCTTGCATTACACATTAATGTTAAATGATATAACATGCCTTGAATGATGCAAGTAATGTAAATAAATTTTACAATACCTGAAAATAAGTTTTGCTGCTATCGGAAAATATTCTTCTTTTCCCTTCCTTTCATGGTGTTTCTCTTTTCTTTCATCCACTTCTATTTCGAGATTCATCTGATTCTATTCCACTTCTCTTTCCATTCCAAACCCTATCAAAGAGAAAACACATACCTTGCATTACACATCAATGTTAAATGATATAACATGCCTTGAATGATGCAAGTATTGTAAATACATTTTACAATACCTGAAAAGAAATTTTGCTGCTATTGGAAAATATTCTTCTTTTCCCTTCCTTTCATGGTGTTTCTCTTTTCTTTCATCCACTTCTATTTCGAGATTCATCTGATTCTATTCCACTCCTCGTTCCATTCCAAACCCTATCAAAGAGAAAACACATACCTTGCATTACACATCAATGTTAAATGATATAACATGCCTAGAATGGTGCAAGTATTGTAAATACATTTTACAATACCTGAAAAGAAATTTAGCTGCTATCGGAAAATATTCTTCTTTTCCCTTCCTTTCTCGTGTTTCACTTTTTTTTCATCCACTTCTATTTCGAGATTCATCTGATTCCATTTCACTTCTCGTTCCATTCCAAACCCTATAAAAGAGGAAACACATACCTTGCATTGCACATCAATGTTAAATGATATAATATGGCTTGAATGATGCAAGTATTGTAAATACATTTTACTATACCTGAAAAGAAATTTTGCTGCTATCGGAAAATATTCTTCTTTTCCCTTCCTTTCATGGGGCTTCTCTTTTCTTTCATCCACTTCTATTTCGAGATTCATCTGATTCCATTCCACTTCTCGTTCCATTCCAAACCCTATCAAAGAGAAAACACATACCTTGCATTGCACATCAATGTTAAATGATATAACATGGCTTGAATGATGCAAGTATTGTAACAACATTTTACAATACCTGAAAAGAAGTTTTTCTGCAATCGGAAAACATTATTCTTTTTGCTTCCTTTCATGGTGCTTCTCTTTTCTTTCATCCACTTCTATTTCGAGATTCATCTGATTCCATTCCACTTCTCGTTCCATTAAAAACCCTATCAAAGAGAAAACACATACCTTGCATTACACATCAATGTTAAATGGTATAACATGCCTTGAATGATGCAAGTATTGTAAATACATTTTACAATACCTGAAAAGAAATTCTGCTGCTATCGGAAAATATTCTTCTTTTCCCTTCCTTTCATGGTGTTTCTCTTTTCTTTCATCCACTTCTATTTCAAGATTCATCTGATTCCATTCCACTTCTCGTTCCATTCCGAACCCTATCAAAGAGAAAACACATACCTTGCATTGCACATCAATGTTAAATGATATAACATGGCTTGAATGATGCAAGTATTGTAAATACATTTTACAATACCTGAAAAGAAATTTTTCTGCAATCGGAAAACATTCTTCTTTTTGCTTCCTTTCATGGTGCTTCTCTTTTCTTTCATCCACTTCTATTTCGAGATTCATATGATTCCATTCCAATTCTCGTTCCATTCCAAACCCTATCAAAGAGAAAACCCATACCTTGCATTACACATCAAAGTTAAATGATGAAAAACAAATTGAATGATGCAATTATTTTTAATACGTTTTACAATACCTAAAAAGAAATTTTACAGCAATCGGAAAACTTTCTTCTTCTCCCTTCCTTTCATGGTGTTTCTCTTTTCTTTCATCCACTTGTATTTGGAGATTCCTCTCATTACATCTGATTCCATCCCACTTCTCGTTCCTTTCCAAACCCTATCAAAGAGAAAGCACATACCTTGCATTACACATCAAAGTTAAATGATGAAAAACGACTTGAATGATGCAATTATTGTTAATACGTTTTACAATACCTAAAAAGAATCAATCGGAAAACTTTCTTCTTCTCCCTTGCTTTGATGGTGTTTCTCTTTTCTTTCATCCACTTCTATTTCGAGATTCCTCTCATTACATCTGATTCCATTCCACTTCTTGTTCCATTCCGAGCCCTATCAAAGCGAAATTACATACCTTGCATTACACATCAATGTTAAATGATATAACATGACTTGAATAATGCAAGTATTGTAAATACATTTTACAATACCTGAAAAGAAATTTTACAGCAATCGGAAAACTTTCTTCTTCTCCCTTCCTTTCATGGTGTTTCTCTTTTCTTTCATCCACTTCTATTTCGAGATTCCTCTCATTACATCTGATTCCATTCCACTTCTCGTTCCATTCCGAACCCTATCAAAGAGAAAACACATACCTTGCATTACACATCAATATTAAATGATATAACATGGCTTGAATGATGCAAGTATTGTAAATACATTTTACAATACCTGAAAGGAAATTTTACAGCAAACGGAAAACTTTCTTCATCTCCCTTCCTTTGATGGTGTTTTTCTTTTCTTTCATCCAATTCTATTTCGAGGTTCCTCTCATTACAACTGATTCCATTCCACTTTTCGATCCATTCCGAACCCTATCAAAGAGAAAACACATACCTTGCATTACACATCAATATTAAATTATATAACATGGCTTGAATGATGCAAGTATTGTAAATACATTTTACAATACCTGAAAAGAAATTTTACAGCAATCGGAAAACTTTCTTCTTCTCCCTTCCTTTCATGGTGTTTCTCTTTTCTTTCATCCACTTCTATTTCGAGATTCCTCTCATTACATCTGATTCCATTCCACTTCTCGTTCCATTCCGAACCCTATCAAAGAGAAAACACATACCTAGCATTACACATCAATGTTAAAAGATATAACATGGCTTGAATGATGCATGTATTGTAAATACATTTTACAATACCTGAAAAGAAATTTTACAGCAATCGGAAAACTTTCTTCTTCTCCCTTCCTTCCGTGGTGTTTCTCTTTTCTTTCATCCACTTCTATTTCGAGATTCCTCTCATCACATCTGATTCCATTCCACTTCTCGTTCGATTCCGAACCCTATCAAAGAGAAAACACATACCTTGCATTACACATCAATGTTAAATGATATAACATGGCTTGAATGATGCATGTATTGTAAATACATTTTACAATACTGAAAAGAAATTTTACAGCAATCGGAAAACTTTCTTCTTCTCCCTTCCTTCCATGGTGTTTCTCTTTTCTTTCATCCACTTCTATTTCGAGATTTCTCTCATTACATCTGATTCCATTCCACTTCTCGTTCCATTCCGAACCCTATCAAAGAGAAAACACATACCTTGCATTACACATCAATGCTAAATCATATAACATGGCTTGAATGATGCAAGTATTGTAAATACATTTTACAATACCTTAAAAGAAATTTTACTGCAATCGGAAAACTTTTTTCCTCGCCCTTCCTTCCATGGTGTTTCTCTTTTCTTTCATCCACTTCTATTTCGAGATTCCTGTCATTACATCTGATTCCATTCCACTTCTCGCTCCATTCCGAACCCTGTCAAAGAGAAAACACATACTTTGCATTACACATCAATGTTAAATGATATAACATGGCTTGAATGATGCAAGTATTGTAAATACATTTTACAATACCTGAAAAGAAATTTTACAGCAATCGGAAAACCTTCTTCTTCACCCTTCATTTCATGAACNATCAATGTTAAATGATATAATATGGCTTGAATGATGCAAGTATTGTAAATACATTTTACAATACCTGAAAAGAAATTTTACAGCAATCGGAAAACCTTCTTCACCCTTCATTTCATGAACTTTCTCTTTTCTTTCATCCACTTCTAGTTCGAGATTCCTCTCATTGCATCTGATTCCATTCCACTTCTCGCTCCATTCCGAACCCTATCAAAGAGAAAACACATACCTTGCATTACACATCAATGTTAAATGATAGATGTTAAATGATAGAAATGTTAAATGATTGCTTGAATGATGCAAGTATTGTAAATACATTTTACAATTCCTGAAAAGAAATTTTACAGCAATCGGAAAACTGTCCTCTTCTCCCTTCCTTTCATGGTGTTT